GCCGAGGTTATGAACAATCAAATTAGATCCCATCTTCAAATAGTGTTGAGAAATATAGTTTCAATATTTAAAAAGTTTTTTGATTGCCTTAAATTATATTTTCATCTTTAGTTGTAAAATTTAAAGATTAAAAAATAGTGTAGATCGAGCATATCTATCAAAACTTGAAAATCTTGAAAATTAATGGTCTAAAAATGTGTTACAAGATGCACTATTTTTAAAACTTAAAATCCATTTTTTTTCATGTCCATACATCTTGATGTCGAGATGATCAATTTGAAGATATTTGGGCATAAAAAAAACCTCTTATTGAACTTTGTGACACTTATCAGATTTCACATCGGATGGTTACAAATAAGGGAAAATTTTATATAGAGCCGAGGCTCTAAACAATCAAATTTGAGTCTACCTAAAAAATTACAGTAGAAGAGGTTGTTTTGATGCCCAAATTTCCTCAAATTGATCATCTCGACATGAAGATGCATGGACCTAAGAAAAAAATACATTTCAAGTTTTGGAAATAGTGTATTTTGAAACTCATTTTTAGACCGTCAATTTTTAAGTTTTCATAGATCTATCGATCTCTATTATTTTTGAAGCTTTAAACTTTATAAATAAAGATGAACATATATTTTAAGGCTATCACAAATATTTTCAATATTGAAACCACATTTCCCGACACAATTTGACGGTAGACTCTAATTTTGATTGTTTAGAGCCTTGGCTCTATACAAACCGCACCCTATAAATAATTGTCAAGGTAAATGGTCTCATTGTATTCAATCCCTTTATACTTTCGAATGTCATATGAATGTAAATCCCATAACTAATCTATCTTATCCCAAAAAAAAAAAAGCATGTATTTCAGTTAGCAATTCATGAGTTTCTTTCTTTTCTTTTCAACAAGTCCCTTCCTTTTTTATTAAATTAAATAGAATACAGGTTAGAGAGCTGAGCACTTCGAATATACGGCAAGGGACAAGATTAGTGTGCAAGTCTCGAAATGGCGCACACCCAATCTTACCAAAATTAAAACAAACAAACTACTTCAAACAACACCGACTTTTGTCATCGATATTTATTCTGGTTTAGTAGCTAAGATGGAGAATGAGAGTCTTGAGATAGAGAGAGCACTGAGTAATTGCCTTCTTTACCATAATTAAACAAACAAACAAACTTAAACAACACCCATTTTGGTCATTGTGTCCATCAAATCTCATATTTACTGTGGTTTACCAACTTCAACACCCACTTTTGTCCTTTCTTAGATAAACCCTCTAAACAAATCTTATATTTATGATGGTTTAGTACTAAGATTGAGAATCATAAAGACTTGAGAGAGAGAGGTCACCACACACAAATACTGTGTTTTAAAGAGCGAGGGAGATCCAAGCAAGTTGGCACATGGGTTATTATTGGGGGCATGTTCTTTTCTTTGAGAATGGTTATTTTGGACGTAACCCAAAGTGGATCCAGAGTAACACAGACAAGTGAGATATCAAACATACGATAGTAACACAGAGAAGGGATTAATCCTCTGATTTTGAGAGCTCAAGAAAGCAAATTTGCATTCTCTTAATTATATGATATTGGGTTTGAGTTAACTGGTACTATGAGCTTGGGAAATGAAAGCAAAAGCCGCTTACAGTAAGCAAGATATTTATTTTGCAGATCTTCTCTCATGTGTCTTGGGTTTTCTTTTGTGAGTGTAAATTCAATATTTACTGGTTCTTCATCTAAAGTTCCAGAGCTTTTGTTGGGTCTTTTGTAATTTGATATTGCTCTGATTCATTGAGCTTCAGCATCCGAGCCTTATCCCATCTGTTTGGGGCCGGCTATGCATTCAGCTTCATGTTGCTAATGTATGTCTTTCTCTCTCTCTCGATGTTACTCAAACCGCACAGCCCACTGAAATCTGGATCTTTCTGTATTGGTCTTGAATATTTTTTCTGCGATTCGGTTTGTTTTCTAACTGTGAAAAGAATTCGCTTTTTCTTCTTCTCTTCTTTAATTGGGATCTTGGGTTTTGGTTTGGCTTTGAATTCAACCTTGTCCAGCTCCTATTCATGAATTGTTTTGATTGGGTAGTTGCTAGATTCTTGATCTGTTTATGCTAACATTTCTGGTTCTGATGTGCATTGTTCAGCTGCACAAGATAAGGCAAGGTTTAGGATAAAGAAATGGCTCGAGCTGGTGGAATTACAAATGCAGTTAATGTGGGAATAGCAGTCCAAGCAGATTGGGAGAACAGAGAGTTTATATCTAACATCTCGCTTAATGTTCGCCGCCTCTTTGAATTCCTAATTAAATTTGGTATGTGCCTTTGATTAGCCAAATGAAATTGGTAGCTGTATTTATCAAATACTCTTTAGCCTTTCCAATGTTTTTCTGGATCCATTTTGTTTGCTATCTAATTCGTCTGATTTTCTCATTTATGGTAGAAAGTTGGAGATGTGCCGGGATGTGGACTTCTTTTTTTCCTTCACCTTAGGACTAGCATATTTTTCTGAGATCTGCTGAAATGGGTTATCAAAAACATAGCCTGCCTTAAGCTTCTACTGCACATTCCAAAACCTTCTATGGACCATAATGGATCCTTGAATTGGGAAGGAAATTTATGAGAAAGACAATGTGTTGACCTTTTAACAAAGTACTGATTAGTGATCTCTTGATCAAGCTCATATACTCATGTTATTTCTGAGAGAATAACTTGTGAATGGTGTCTCGTAACTTCCTGGTCTTTGTATGGAAAAATTATCTGTTCTTAATGGGGGGTGTTGGAACTTCAAATGCCAAAAATTCCAGAAGAAAGGAAAACAATCAAGGTTATGTGATGATTCTGTTTAACTTGGCCAACTTAGGGAAAATTTGGGGCTCTATCAATTCTTTATGTCTAGTTGTTTGCACTTTAAAGGTTGTCATAGTGCACTGTAAACACTTAGGAAGTGTTAATGGCATTTGAATTTACTTGCTGACCTTAAACCCCTGCATTGGTTTTCATGAGTTCAAGTACTTGGGAATGTGATACCATTCTCTCTCAACACAATCTATGCTTAAATGTGAAAGCAATTTAGCCATTTGGCGTAGAAATCACAGATCAAGGATCCTAGAATTCATTGTCACATGTGTTGTAAAGGTTATGGACTCCTGAAAGTTTCATGTCATGGCCACTGTCTTTGCCTCAAAAACTCTACTTCAACCAGCATCAAGCATGTAACTTCTACCGTGTTGCATGAGATTATGCAACTTGACACATTCAGCATATTTCCACCCAGCTTCTCATGATATTTTAGTTAAAAAAATAGTTTTTGATCTGTTATCTACATTAATTGGTTTGGAAACTAGCTGACATATAACAACTCCACTGTTTGTTGTTTCCCCCCTTATTTCTCTTGGATGGATAAGGGTTTCTCTTTGTCATTCATTTGTTTAGATTTCTTCTGTGAAGTATGCCATTGGTTTGGTTGTTGAAGAGATCATCAATCTGTGTCGACCAATGTTGGTTAGCTTTTAGCATATTTCATGGAAGGCAAATGAAACCAGCAGACGCACATGCCAAGAATGGGAACTCTCTCTCTCTCTCGTGAATGTCTTAGTTTGTGTAATCCTTTTGTGTCTTGGGAGTAACTTGCTGTAAACAGTTCTCCAGTCAATTTATATTACCATTAAGAAAAAATAGTTCCTTGATTTTTCTAAGTTCTCTTAGAGCTTGCTTTCTATTTGTAACCTCGACCAATGCAAAACAGTTTCCAGTTACTTTCTTTCTCACAGTGTCTGGTTTGTGACTTAAGGGCGAGGAAGAAGATTGGGGAAGGACAAGGGCAGTAGATTATATGCCTTGTGTAACACATTTATGTTTGACCATATTCCTTAAGGGTAAATTGGCTGTGATTAGTGGTTCCAGAAAACTTGGTATTGTCATTAAGAAATTTCAGTGAAATGCTATTGAGCAACTTCATCATCTTGGTATTCTCTTTCTACATCAAAATAAGGTCATGATAGGTTTGGCATGCTTACTCGGACCGTGATCAATTGCTTTTTTAATTAAATTAACAACTTATTTATAAGCTTTTCGGTATATCCCTTTCGATGCTTATAGTCTCATATCTCTTAAGACTCAGTATTGGATCCTGAATACATTGTTAGTTTCATTGATTAGTGTACAAAACCAAGCTTTGTTTCACACACATAGAGAAATACAAATGTTTTGCATGAACCGAATCTTTTTATGCATTATCTTGTAACACCATTCATGTTTCTTTGTTTTTGTTCAAAGAAAACTTTGTTTTATTCTGTCTGTTGTCTCCATGGCCATCTACACAAGGGTTTGAGTTCATCAACGATGGATTACTACCACAGGTGTATACGGTTCCACTTTCCTGTATCCATGAGTATCATGTTGACATGGATTCTTTGGCTTGAAATAGGTCTTCTATTATTAATATTTTTTTGAGTGAATGTCTTCTTTTATTAATATTTTGAGCTACAAGTCCACAAGTACAACCTATATAGAATTTATAGACTAAATTCTTGAAATAACAGCACAAAATATACAGCTTAAATGTATATAATTTTATGACACATAAAAATATAATAATAAACCATAATTTAAATGTCTGATCATATCATACATTCAGCATTTGATATCACTTTTGTGGATACCCTACGGGCTCTCAACTGGGGTTTTTAAAACTCTGCCATTTTGTTACTGCCTCTCCCACTTCCACTCTCTCTTGGAGATTTTAAAGTTTCTCTGCAGCTTAAGTTCTTGGATATTTCATCAGATACATGACACCTCTATGGGGGAACTTTAACAATCATCCATGCAGTAGTACTTGGACATTTTGCTGGAAACTGCCAATTTTTGCTGGATTGGAGCTCTAAACAGTGTCTTTTGACAAGGGAAGATCGTTCCTTCCATCTGTTGTCTTTTGCTATCCTGAAAGCATCTCCCCTTCATTGTCTAGCTAGGTGGCAGTACTCATTCCTATTCTTTTGACAAATTCAATGGGCAAGAATAATTTTTTGCATCTTATTAAGGACCGGTTTGGATGTCTAGTTCAGACTTCACACATTCTCATCATTCCATGTCTCAGATTAAGGGTTCTAAGTAGTGGTTTAAAAAACGGATCGGTGCCCCGGATCCGTTTGGTTATCAATGTAAAAATAAATTATAAAGTGGTATGAGTTAGTGTTATTTTTCTCTCTTAAAATATCCTCTAAACTAATATTTTTTAATATTCAATAGACTAGAATTAGTATTATTTTTTGTTTTTTTAATATCCTATGAGCTAGTACTAATTTTTAATCTCAATTAACTACTTAATTAATTATTAATCATATAATGAAATAATCCCGTGAGATAATAGCCTAATAGAGTTTTTATGTTTTATTTGGGTAGGTAAATTTAAATTTTTTTATGAAAGATAGGGGTGGTGAGCACCAAATTATTATTTTTAATAATTTTTTTCTTTTTTTATCAAATAATTTAATTACCAACATCGGGCATACACCCTTCTTATTCACGACGGGCATACACCGTCGCGTGTACACCATTGCAGCTTTTTACGTTTAAAGTTTAAATCGTTTTATAAAGTTTCAAACGTATATTAAACCTCATCAAAGAGATGTGGGATAGAGAGGCTCTATAAAAGAAGCAAGCCAATCACCTTTGTCAACATGTGTAAGTGGGGCCATGTGGGTGGGTCGTGCACGCTGATGTGAGCAAGTGGGGCCGCAAAATTTGAATTTTTAATAAAAAAACAGAAAAATCAAGTCAATCATGATGTCATCATGACATCACCAGGACGAGTCGCGAGATCATGACATCATCATGTCGTCACCGGGGCGATTCAGTCTCGCAACTCGCACGTGATCGCCACGGGGTGGCCGATTTCCGTGTCGACCCGGGAGATTCGGGGTCGACTCGGCGTTTTTTAAATCACTGGTTCTAAGCCCTAGAAATGAAACTTTGTGAACCCCAAGACTCCGCCTTGGCGCATGGAGGAAAGAACATGCAGCTCACGAAATGTGTGGCTTGCAACTAAGTTTTTCCGAACCCTAAGCCGATCACATTATGGGGGGATCCTGCCCTTTTGAAAATGGGGCTTGTGGTCCAAACCACAATACGGAAGCGTATGCAAACAGGCCCTAAATTGGAACTTTTAGTCTTCACTTCTGCTACACTACTATCTTCTTTGAGTTTGATGGGAAAATGATTGAAGTCATTCAACTTCTCAATTTATTCCCTAGCCTCATCATTTCTGGTGTTTGAAATGCCTCTCTGATGCTAATGACTGATTGCCTACTGCTTGTGTTATAGTTGGTATTCCAAGTAACCTTCGAACACTGTTGGGGTTGCATGGAGATCTTGATGAGTATCTCCGATGCTAATGACCAATTGCCTACTACTATATTACGGATGCTATTCTATAACCCTTTTTAGTTGTCGGGGGACGTGGAGACCTTGATGAGTAGGAGGGCATGTTTTACATTTTTTATGAAGGCTGGGTTCCAATGTGAATATGGATTGGTGCTTTTTCTGTCCATTTTCCTCGGTGTTTCTTCTTTAGTTGCTTCTTCTTTACAAGTTTATTTTCTCATGAATTATTGTCTCTCCTTCTTATCTTTTTTATTGTTCCACAAATTATTCACATCCGGGAATTTCATGATTTAGTGAAGCAAAAGTATACTATATTAATACATTCCCATCAACTATGAAAAAACCATTGTCCATTGAGTCATCACCATCCATTGAAATGATGTATGTTAATGGAAAATGATGGCGAGAACATCACAGGGCATGACTTGTCCTGCTAGGTTCCACTCTCTCACCAAACCATTGATCATTTCCATGGGCAAATTATGATCAATGGGCTATACTCATCCATGTTCCATTGGATTTCTGCCACATCTACACAGAACAACTATATGTTGACAGTGTGCAACTACTGTTGCAGATTGCTTTTCCACCAAGTCTAGTAATGACCATACACATTTACAAACCCAGTCGTATAATTTCCCGAGTGCAAACTATTCTTAATTTCCTACATTGGATCTCCAATAAAGCTTCTGATTACTCGAATAGAAACATGATTTCAATTTTTTTGTCCTTTTAACCATTCTTTTGTTGTTTTCCATTTCATAGAGGCTACAACAAAAAGCAAATTGGCATCTCTCAATGAAAAGCTGGACACATTGGAGCGTCGTCTAGAACTGATAGAAGCCCAAGTGAGTTCTGCATCACATAATCCCCCTGCTTTTTCTTGAAATTCTCAACATGCAAGGATTAAGCTCACCATGTCAGCTAGGGGTTGGCATCATATAATAAGAATTTGGAGAACCTTTGTATATTTACCTGTGGGGCTGGAGGCTGAATGTAGAGAGAGTAGTGAGCACTTGAATCGGATTTCCAGCATTATATCTATCCCCACTGCTTATGTCACACAATATTTGTTTTTTCTTTATTTGATAATGATTGAATACGTTTCTGGTTATTGGGCCTTGATTCTGTTACTCCTATCTGAAAGTACTTCAGCTTTTGCATCTTTGCCTTCTCTTGTAAAATATAACACCAGGAAGTTATAGTTTTTCTCTTTATTTCTTGACTTTTACTTTATCACTAGGCATGGGTTTCAATGCTGCATGGGGTGAAACTAAAGATCTAGACAATAGGGTTAGAAGTGGTGGCAACAGTCGGGTCGGGTCTAGGTCGACCCGTGGATCCAAATCTAGAAATTTAAAAAATAATAATTTTATAGATTGTGTGTGTGTATATATATAAGATTTTTTTAAAAATTGCGGGTTGGGTTAATCTGGACCTGGACGCGGACCCCGACTCGATAGTGTCCAGCCCGGACCCAACCCACCAGGTCCAACATATGGAACTGGACCTAGAACCGGCTGGTCGACCAGACCTGATTGCCACCCCTTTAAGGTAGAACCCAATATATCACGAGTTCCATGCTAGTGCATCTACTCTATGGATTTCAAGAAAACTACTCAATTATTTTAATAATATCAATTAAATGTAGCATTTTTACATGATTATTATATTTCAACTTTCAAGCAACCCTTAAACAATTTGTTTCTATATTTTATCATTTTTCTCAATTTCAAATTTCCGTGCTGTCTATACTTTTCTTAAGTTATGAGGCTTTAATTAACATGTGTCTCCATGACCCTTAATAGAACGGACAGAGTCATAAAAATGGTTTTACTTTTCTCGTAACAAATGGGTTAAATCTAGACTACTTGTAATAGCTTATAGGTTACATGTAAGTTTTTGTTTTTCTTGCCTTGGATATTCACCGCCGATAGTTGGAAAAAGGCTCTGATGATGATGATGATGGATATTTACTGTTGAATGTGTGATCTTATTAGTTATTGCGTGCATCTTTTCCACACCAATCAATGGTTTTTCCTTCTGCTGTGCTTCTCTTCTCTATTAGTGAACACTTGAATGTGATGTTATTTTCTGAGAATAAAATTTAATTGGTATGATTGTGTGGGCTATCATCATTGCATTTCCTATTTCTTGAATTAATTTTCATTGATTGCTCTTGCCACGTTAGCATTGAAATCTTTGGAATCTATGCTGCATGCTAAAATCATTTTTTTTGAGCCCATATGATGATAAGACCAGAGAAAATTCTAGCTTCTTAACATTTTGAGCCCTCCTCATGGAGGATTACCAACCGATGTAAATCCCTCTCAGAATACTTTCTTTTCTCTTCTTTTCTTTTTTTTAAATGCTTCCAAAATTCTGATGACATAATATACGACTTCGGAAAACCATTTATTCTTTGAAGGTGTTCTGCCTCATCCCTTCAAAATTAACTGGGAAATCCTGAAATCTTTATTTTACTATATTTTTTATTTCATTTTGTTTTTGTGCTAAATATTCCTGAAATCTCTTCCGAATTTCACCTATTCTATTCTCCCCAAAGATGGAAACACTTCCTTAAACTTTCTTTGAAATCATAATCTGCATAGTTCTATCAAATAGGAGTTCACTAAGCCAAGTTTGGACTGGTCCAGTAATGTAGCATTGAATCTTGTAAATCAAGAACTAAAGCAGAAGATTATTATTTTTTTAAATCCTTAGTGGCATTTTTTGATTGTTTTGATAAGATGGCTGTTACTTATTAAGATTTTAGAGCAATTTTAAGCTCTAATAGCCGTTATTTGAAACTAACGATGCTTTCAAAGCAGAAAATTTATTTTAAACTAATATCATGTTTTCACATTTTTCAGCTTATTTTTCTGTTTCTGGTTTTTCGTACCGTTAGCGGTTGCCTACATGGAATAATAACATAGCATGCTCGTTACACAACGATAACTGCTTGTTTTCAGCCTTGGTCATATTGTACCAAATGTAAAATGAAGGATTTTTATTCAGTTTTGTGACAGCAAAACTGACGCAAGTCATTAGAATTTATGTACACCACCAAAGTCAAGGCCCTTTATCTTTGTTATTGGGAGGCTACAATTGTTCCTAACCATTAGATGTCAATTTAGATGGTTTGTGGTGAGTTGGATCCGGTTCAATCTTTGGACTCTATTGGATGGGTCAGTTTTAGCCGAACACAACCAGTGTGCACCCCTACTAACTTTTTAAATATAAGAGGGCTGTTCGATTGGGCCCTGTTGGCCCAACCCTAAAAAACTAGGGCCTAAGCCACAAAATGTGGCCCAAAGGCGTGGCCACCATGGACAGAGGGCAGCTGGGCTAGGGTCAAGGCAAGTTTGGCCTGGCCCTTATTTTTTTATGTTTTTGTTTTGTTTTTATTAAATTCTATTTGGCCCAGCCCCACCCAACCTTGATGGGGCCATGGCCTCTTTGGCGGTTCTAGGCCAAGGGAACAAGGATGGTCTGGCCCATTGCCAGCCCTACTTAAATAGTATTGGAGTTTTTCTTTTTATTCACTTATTTTTCTCTTTTTTCTATGCCCATTTAGTATCTAGCATTTGGGGGAATATACTTTTGAGATTGTATACTATTAAGACTTCAATTTTGGTGCAAGGATTTTACAATCACGTTTAGCAATTGATGTGAAATCCAACAAATAGGAGTGTCACAACATTTGAATAATTTTATGTTGAACTTTTCGCTCAATCAATGACACATCTCTAGCCAATCAATTTCACATCTATGATCAATAATGATTATGACTCATTATACCGAAAGTTAATGTCTTTATTGCATAAATTTTTTGTAACTTTAGGCCCAATTGGATAACCACTTGTCAAGGAACATTTTTTTCTTCCTCAGCCATCAATGCGCAGTGCTATTCATGGATCATGGATGCTTTTCACAAGGCTCTTTAAGTAGACACTGCAAAATGTTCTTCCATCCCTTCAAAGAAACTTGAAATGCATATATGTATAGAGAAAGTATAGAGTGAGATCATTTACCGAAACTTGAAATGCATATATGTATAGAGAAAGTATAGAATGAGATCATTTACTGTTGATACAAGGTGGTCACATTGACCATTGGATGTGGCATTGGATGGCTGCAATTATTCATTAACCAAACTCAAACTTCAAAATAAATTTTTTCGAACTTTGTAATACATCCAAACTATCAAATTTTACATCAAATGGTTGTAAGTAGTGTTTTAAAAAACGGCGAGTCAAACTGGACTCGCTCGGTTCGACTCGAAAACACGCGTGCCCATGTCGGTTCCAACCAAAAATCGGGAATCGCTCGGTTCTAGAGTGGAACCGCCGGTTCCCATCCGGTTCTATCCGGTTCAGCCCAGTTCACACACGTAAACGCATGACAAGCACGTGCGAGCGTGCCTCACGCACACTCACACATGCACATGTGTCCAAGCACACGTGCGAACGTGCCCCACGCACACTCACACGTGCACACGTGTGTCCATGCGCACGTGCGAGCGTGCCCCACACACATTCACACGTGCACACGTGTGTCCAAGCGCACGTGCGAGCGTGCCCCACGCACTCACACGTGCACACGTGTGTTCAAGCACACGTGCGACCGTACCCCGCACACTCACGCGTGCACATGTGCACACTCACGCTTGCACACGTGTGTCCAAGCGGACGTGCGAGTGTACCCCACGCACACTCACGTGCACACGTGTATCTAAACGCACGTGTGATGTTGTCCTAATATTTTTACACACATTTTATAATTCATATTGCATAGGTATTTATATACCAAAGTTGAATACTCATCTTTGATGTGGG